TCCATGAAAGGCAGGGTGGCTCACATTATTGTTCCCCACCCTGGAAAGGAGGAATGGATGCCCATGGTGCTCGCTGTGCCGGTTGCATGAATCAAGGGTGGTTTGCCATGTCTGCAATATTTTAGGTTTGTAGTGGGAGTAGGTTTGCTGCTGTTTGCTGGATTCCTTCAACCTGACGGCTCCTTAGATTGGGCCAAAGTCCTTGTGTGCAGTGCAGCTTGGTGTACTGTTACCTCTGCCTGAGGCTATAGGGCGTGTGAGGCTGCACTTTTTTAATTTGGATGTAAAGAGGAATGGCCTAGCGTCATTTCTTCTTCAGCTTTCATGAACTGTAACTATGTCAGGTTAATTAGTCCTTATGCCATTTTCCTTGGCATTTCAACTTTGCTGTGGGTTTTTGAACTTTGAACTGCTAGTAATCTGCATCCTGTGATTTTTTATGACCTCACACTGTAGTTATTTCAAGCTAATCAGCAATCATGTATTTACTTTCTGTAGTGATTTTTGCAGAAGTTGAGTGAGTGCACAAGGATCTGGTGAGGGATCTCATCATGCAGAACTCAAAAACCAGGTAGCTTCCATGTGTTTCTTCCTTCCTTCCTCCCTTTTGTGCATGTGTTTGTTTGCCAAGCACATCTATCTGTAGTCCTTTCTACACATGCATGTGCGTCTCTGAGCCAGTGTCTACCACCTCGGTGGACAGCAGTACCCAAATGATGGCATATCGTTCATAGTATTAAATGTGTCTAATGTACTGGGACCAGTGCAGGTCAAAATAGCCATTTACTTCTGCATAGTGAAATAATATTTACCAGTACAGATCTTGTGTTGACTAGGCCTTTTCTTTCTTTATCTTTGTCAAGCCAATAAGATAGTGGTATGATTTGTAGTATCTGTTAGTGGTAGCATATTAGCAGCACTGTAGAATAGATCTTTTTTCTATTGCAAGTGAATGTTGTCAATTTGATTTGAAATGAATAACCAAACTGGAATGCAAAGCTGCTGAGCATACATACTAGTAATTAATATTATGCACCGTTCATCTTTCTTATACAAATACTAGCATTAGATATGTATTTTATACTAAGTTTTTTTTGTCGTTCTGTGTTCAGTAGGAATGGCTCTTCAGATGCTCCGCAGAGGACGTCTCCAGCAACACCGCGGTCGTCTCGTGTGGCGAAAACCGGAGGGAACGAAACTGACTCTGCAGGGATCACACCAACAAGGACACCTACAGACAGGAGCCCAAAGGTCATTGAGCGCCGTTCACCACGGAGCCCAGTTACTGAGGTAGAAAGTTACTTGTTTGGCAGTCGTTGCGTTGCTGATTGCCCTCACTGGATTTAGATTTGCTGCTTTCTGTTCAGTTCAAAAACAGTCGACATTCCAAAGTACCCCCTTCAATGTTCTTTACAAGAACTGAACTTCCATTTCTCAAAATGCCTTGTACATTCCAATGCACCCTCAAGTAGCGATAGGCTTTAGCATCTATAATCAGTTTAGCACTGGAAAATGCAGAATCTTTTGCAGCAAGCTTCATTTATAGTGCTTAACTCATACTGTCTTGCATTCAATTTTCAGAAGAAGCGCCCAAGTAGGCTAACTGAGCTGGACTCTAAGGTCAACCAGCTCCAAGATGAGCTCAAGAAGACCAAGGAACAACTGAACGCATCAGAGGCACGAAGGCGCCAAGCACAGCAGGAGGCTGATGAAGCAAAGAAGCAGGGGCAGGATGCATCGTCGAAACTGGAAGAGTCCCAGTGCCAGCTTATCGAGCTCTCAGCAGCAGAGGAATCCCGTCTCCAGGAGCTGCGCAAGATCCAACAGGAGCGTGACCGCACCTGGCAGGCCGAGCTTGAGGCATTGCAGAAACAGCAGTCAGTGGATGCCGCTGCACTCAGCTCGGCCTTGTCTGAGATCCAGAGGCTGAAGTTGCAGCTGGAGGCGACGGTGCAATCGGATACAGCCCGTGCCAAGCAATGTGAGCATGCAGACTCTGAGCTCGAGGGGCTGAAGCAGGAGATGGAGCTCAGGCTTGCAACGATTGAAGGCCTGAAAGTAAATGTCAGTGAAAGTGACAAGGCTGCAGCTGATGCGAATGCCATGTCAACTGAGGCCAAGCTGCAGCTTGAGACCGCAAAGGCCACCATTGACACACTCCTAGCTGAGGGTGCCCGGTTGCAGGAATGCCTGAGGTCAAAGGACATCGAGCTCAGTGAGTCTAAAGCTCGGGAAGCATCGCTCAAGGAAGATCTGAAGAAAGCTCAGGCTGCAGGTAATGAAATTCTGAATGAGGCACAGGCAGGCAATGCCAATGGTGGCTTTGGCAGTCCGTTGACTGAAGTTGTGAAAAAGAGCGCGCATCCTATCAGTGACGTCAATGGAAGCTGTGGAAGTCCTGACCCCGAGATTGAGCACTTGAGGATGGCGCTTGAGGTGGCTGAGATGAGGTACCAGGAGGAGCAAACTCGGATGGCCTTCGAGACAAAGACGGTTTATGAGATGCTGGAGAATGTCAAGTCTGAGTGCACGCGCCAAGTGTGTGATATCGAGCTCAAGCTGAAGAGCAAGACTGACGAGCTCATGGCAGCGCAGGCAGCACTGACAGGCAAGGCGCAGGAGGATGTTCACAGGTCAGATGGGCTGAGTGAAATGCAGCCAGAGTTGGAGGCGAAGCTGATGAAGTCCATCACCGACATCGCGGAGCTCAAGGCGAACCTGATGGACAAGGAGAATGCGCTGCAGAGCCTGGCGGAGGAGAACGAGACCCTCAAGTCGGAGGCGGGCAGGAAGGAGGCCGACGTGCAGCAGCGGTACGAGGCGGCGGTGGCGGAGCTGGAGCTGGCCAAGGCGGCGGAGCAGGACGTGCGGATGCGGCTCGGGTACGTGACGGAGGAGGCCGACAAGAGCAGCCGGCGCGCCGCCAGGGCCTCGGAGCAGCTGGACGCCGCGCAGGCGGCGAGCGCGGAGGCCGACGCGGAGCTGCGCCGGCTGCGCGTGCAGTCCGACCAGTGGCGCAAGGCCGCGGAGGCCGCCGCCGCCGCCCTCGCGGGCAACAATGGCGGCCGGATGGTGGAGAGGACCGGGTCGCTCGACACGGAGTACAACGGGTCCATCGGCGGGAAGCTGATGGGGTCGCCGTTCTCGGACGAGGAGTCCCCGAAGCGGCGCAACAGCGGCGTGCTGCGGAGGATGAGCGGGCTGTGGAAGAAGGGGCCCAAGTGAACAAGCCCATGAGACCGTTCAACAGACGAGAGGTAAGGTAAGGTGATAACCAGATGATAACCAGATTCAGCCAGAGCTAGTCAGTGATCAGAGTGGTAGTCTAGTAGAGGTTGGTGCTGGTGAGTAGCAGAAATATGTAGCTGTGCTTCTAGGGTTACTAGGGATGATGGATGGAATGGAATGGAATGGAATGGTAGATGGATATCTGTCCCTTGTTGTTTGCAGTTAGTTGAAAGAGAGAGAACCTCCTGTGGATTATGGTGTCATGAGATCCTGGAGCAGCCGCTTTTGTTTGGCTGCCTGCATGCCTGTGTTTGTTACTGTATGTTGCAAGAGACCACCTTGATGTTTCATTATCTTGTACTTACCATCTTAATGGTTCCAGTTCAGTTTTTTGCATATGCATAATATTCATTCTTTCCCAATCCCGGATAAAGGAGGATGGTTGTGATAGGTTTGGCGAGCCAAACCAGAAGAACATAATGTCCATTCTGTGCCTGCAAAGATGCAAACTGCAAAAGAAAGTTCAGGTTGGTACAGTGAGTAATCCTGTAAACAGTTGATGGTTTGGAAGTTGAGGGCTACGCAGAAACCTGATTAGCTAGAGGTACGATGACAGTAAATTGTCAAGCAAGCAATTTGTGGGTGTGAATGTTAAGAGTTTCACTGCTATCATCTGGTGCCAAAAGTAACATAGATCAACCAAAATCCTGTCAAACGGCTTGCGAACGATAGTAACACATGTGTAGGTCCCCGAGCAGATCATATCAGGTAATAAAATGTGTAATAAATGCAAGACATACTCGCTGTGCATAGAAGAATAGCAATGTAGGGCTACCGGCGGCCATGGCCGCCCCGGAGGCGGTGGCGGCGGCGGCGGCTAGATCACAATGGTAGGAAGATGTCGACACCATTCTCAAAAAAA